TATATATATATATATATATATATATATTTATATATCCATCTCTAAGACATGCAAAAACACTTGGTACCTAAAACACTTGGTAATACTTACCCAAGTTGAGTTTTGGAGACACAGCATATGATTTTTCGTCTTTTGACCCAAATTGGCTTTCAGATTTTTTAACACCAGATGGAGAAACTGTTTGAAGATAAAGTGTGTTTTGATCTTTACTTTCTTTGGTTTTCAAGGTTATAAGTGGTACTTCCGAGCTTGAAGCTACCTTTGGCATCTTGGTAGTAGAAGTTCGTGGAGGGATGTGATGTTGAAATTGTCTATTAAGATGTGATGGCGAGGAAGTACTGGTACTAGAGACAGCTGTAGGATATCTATTTGTGATTGCCCAAGGAGGATAGATAGGGCCAAACTGAAGTCTGTTTATAAGAGAAGGTTTTAGTGGAAATTGGGGACTTATTGATACAGGTATTGTAGATATTTTGTGTGAATATGTAGTAGAAGTACTTAAACTTGTTGGCCTCCTTGTTGTTGTTGTAGAAGTAGTTGAACTTGCTGGCCTCCTTGTTGTTGTTGTTGTAGTAGAAGTAGTTGAACTTGTTGGCTTCCTTGTTGTTGTTGTAGAAGTAGTTGAACTTGTTGGTCTCCTTGTTGTTGTTGTTGTTGTAGTAGAAGTAGTTGAACTTGTTGGCCTCCTTGTTGTTGTTGTTGAAGAAGTAGTTGAACTTGTTGGCCTCCTTGTTGTTGTAAAAGTATGTGAAATTGTTGGCCTCATTGTTGTTTGTGTAGTTATTTCTTTGGGTGGTGGCTGCTCAATGCTTGGCATTGGTGCTGATGGTGAAAATACTTGAACATCTTTTTCTGTAATTACTAATATAAAAATGTACGGTTTGTATTGTAGAATACAAGTAAAAAATGCATAATAAAAACATTCACATAAAAATAGTGATTAATAAATATGCAGACATTCAATTATAAATTATTCTTCATACTAAATAGAATTTGATATTGTTCAAGAATAAGAGCCCAGAATATTTTATAAAGTAATCAAACATCCTTCTTTTTAAAGTAATTTTTATTTAAAACTTAAATAATATTTTTTATTGAAATTTTAATTAAATCATAAACAGAAACTGAGATTCTCTTCAGTGGTTTAAGATTTATGGAAAAGTTTGTACTAAACATTAATATACCTTTAGATTTTGTTGCCATACTAGGTGAAATACAATAAAAACTTACTTTCACAAACAGGGGCTTTTTCATCCCAATAACCACTAGAGTCACACTTCAGTTGAGCCTTTCCAACTAGTTTGTAGCCAGGCTCACATATGTACTCCACTATAGTACCAAATATGCTTGTGTTTGTTGTCATCCTCAACATTCCATTCACAATACCTGGGGGTCTACTGCATTGAATAGCTAAGAACAGGTTAAAAATTGTGAAAATAGTACATTTTAATTACTACATCAGTTGTTTGAAAGTAGCTAAAACCATTAAATAAAAAGCTGAATAAAAAACTAATGTTTCTTATTTCTTTCTTTCTACTGAACTTATCTTTTTAAGTGCAAGGTTGAAATATCCACAATTCAAAATCAATGTAACAGTGCAATTGCTAGTTAAGATACAGCTTTCTTTTTTAATTTTTTATTCATTTTTTTATTCAAAATTACTTTTTCCTTTCAAAGAATACTGGGAAACCTACAGTTCAGAAAACATGTTATAGCTGAAATGCCTTCTAAGTTCACCCTTACATAATTAGTAAGGTTTATTCAGATAAGTTTTTGAAATTTCTCTGCAGTTCTACATGTTATCATGATGTTCTTGTTAATCAGACATTGAAAGATTGTAAATGTGCTAGCTCCTTTACTTAGATAAAGGTTACATATAGTAATGGCTATTTCATAGAGGCTTGTATCAGTTTGGCCTTGGATCCACTTTCAAAAGTGGGCAAGCCCATCTCAAGGGGTGACACATATATTTGTACAAACTGGCATAAGATGGGGAACCTCCCCACAGAATAGGTTATTTGGAATATTCGGTCACATAAGTAACCCATGAATTATAAGACACCATACTAGGACCCTCTTGTCTAACTTGATAGTGCAGTAAAATATAATTCTTACTGTCCTTGTTCTGTGCAGATATTTTGGAAAGCCTCTATAGCCTCAAAAGCCAGTTTGAATAGAAATAATAAGTCAGCCATCAAGTAAATTCACACAACACTGCCTGTGAATAAAAACTTTATTTGCTTTTCCTTTGCTGTCCATGTTTAATTTATTCTCTATATAATACTTCTTGATGCAGTTGTATTGAGGAAATTTTTGGCTACATGTTGAATATCAGTGTACTTGAGAACTACACTCAATTAGTTAAGATATAGTTATCTTGTCAGGTTTTATGTATGGGCCAGATTCTTTACAGTAGGTGTCTGTAACTTGTTGGCAATAAACTTCAACAATAAACAAAAAACAAACAGTCCACTCGTTTTGAAATAATATGTATAACAAGTCAAACGTATATACAAACGTTCATTACGCTGTTGGTTATCACATTTGTATCCAGAGCTTTTTGTTAAATTCTACACAGCCTGATTCAATCACTTTAGAGCACAATTTGACAAGAGAAATTGTTCTTCTCTACTCTGTTATTACAATCTGTGATAATTTTACTTCAAAAATCACAACTATACACTCTTTATGGCTAAACTCACAATCACACAGTCTAGATCTAACTATCCAACTAAATTTTCTATGTGTATTTATACCCCAACAATGGTCTAGAACATTCCAAACACTGGTATATATTATAATGTAATAATACTCAATTAAAACAACAAGAAAAACTAAGAAGGTACTAGTAACATGACACAATAATATAACAACCACAATTCACAAAAATTGAACTACACAATGTACGATTTGTAAACAGTTACATAAACAAGCTTGAGATAAACTATCGTTTCTCAAAATAATCAACTTTAGCATTTGCACTAAATAACTATCTAAATCATAACTCTCACAGTGAACTTAAACTGAAACAGTCGTGTATATCTAACTTATTTCTTTGGGTTTTGTTTGACAATACAAAATACTGACTATTTTTCTCTGCTGAATTTATATTTTTCTTTTAAGTACTATGTTGAAATCTACAGTTTATAAAAGCATAAGAGAGTATTAGTTAATTTTGATGTGATTCTTTATACTATTTTTATGAAATTTTTACAATGCACATAGCAGCAAGGTAAGACACTACTTCAATGCAACAACTTACGTTCACAGCGGGGTGGAGGCCCGTTCCAGCGTTCATCTACATCACAAACCAAGAATCCACGTCCAACAAGTACATAACCTTCATCACAGAAATATTGAACACCACTAAGGTAGTAACGAGTTCTGTTAACTAGTTTGTAACCACCATGGGATATAGTAGCAGGGGGACCACATTCCAAATCTTAAAAAAATATATTTAATAAATGCTTTTAACTATACAAGTTCATAACATCTGTAATTAACATGAAAAATTAACTAGTTCACTAGCAAAATAGCTAATTGGATATGTTTGAAGAAGATTTATGCATGAAATTTTTAATTTTTAGGTTTGAATAGGAACCACTTAAATTATCCACTGAATATTTGAATCCTAGGTAAATGAGTTTGTATAATAACATCATTATCTGTATCGTTAACTAATAAAGAACTTAGCAATACTGCTATATGTATTGTGAAATAGATGAACTCAGAAATCCCATTACCCTAACACAAGATTTGTGTTAATACGTTAAGAGTTAATACACAAGTCTCTTACCTGGGTTCCAAAGAGTTACTACTGTTTAATGCATGCATCCACTACATCATAAATTAGTACACCAAAGAATCCAAACTAAGCTAAGGCTTGATACCCCTTAAACAGCATATACAAGTCATAAAATTGTACTTACATTTACATTTTGGTGAGAATTCGCTGAACACACCAGTTGGAAGGCAAGTTCTAATATTAGGCCCTACAAGGAGATGACCAGGAGAACACCTATACTCAATAACAGAACCAATTTCAAAGCTCCTGGCCAGTATGGTGGAATTGGTAGGTCTTTCAGGCTTTCCACAAGTAATTGGTCCTAAGTAAAAGAACATCAAGATCTAAGATGTTAGACACTCATAATACATTTTATTTAATAATATGCCACAACTAAAGGTTGTATTTCATGCTTCCACAGTTTCTACTAGTACTATTAATATTGTTAAGTGACAAAAAACAATCAGTCATAATGTTTGATGATAAAACAGGGATTTACTTATTTTGAACTATAAAGTGGTGTACCTGCAAGAAATACCAGTGATTTTCCTATACGTGGCATGACTGTAACCATACAATCTATCATTAACATTAGTGATTTTAGATAAATGTTATTGTAACCAGATGACCTACAGATAATACAAGTAGTTTTAGATAGATGGTACAAATGAAACCAGGTTACCCACAGTTAAAAACAGTGATATATATCTGTTACCAAAATACTTGCAATTACAATCATTGATTGATAAGATAAGCAATATTTGTAATTAACTAAAAATTAACATAAGAGACAAATTACATTATGCCAGAATGCTGTGATACTTGCTATTTTTTTTAAAGTCAAATGACAGAAAAGTTGCTTTAAAAATATGCAATACACTTTACTGTAACAGCATATCATACTCTAAATGAAAAATATATAAGAAACAGACTTACTATGTTGACAGATAAAATTCAAATTAAGGTCACAATTTGTGTCTGACCACAGCCAACCCTTGGAACCATCAAAACGTGAACAATTTTCATTTGATCCTGGGAGATTCCAGAAAGAGGTAGTCACTTCTTTTCCTTGTGGAAATACATTCCCAATATGATAAATAAAATGTTTAAAAAAACTACAAAAACTGTTAATTTTGAAGTTTATATATCTACGAGATTTTTTAAACTTTTTAAGACAGTTTTTTACTTACGCTGTGTTTGCACAAAAAAACAGTTGGGTATTCAAATAACATCCACATTAAATGTTAGCCTTTTACAGGCTAGTGAAGATTTGTATAGAACTGATGCAAACTTATTCTAAACTTAAATAAAAAACCTTTGAATAAACTGAGTGATAAAGCAAACCATTATAAATGTTTTCTTCGTCAGAAAATCTAATATGGTGAGACAAATCTATATAATTTTAAAGATATTACCAAGTCATAGCCTTCTTAAAGCTTAAATGCTCACCATTGATCCACTTCCAAGTATTATGTTCCTTAGGGTCACGAACTGCTCCAAGCCAGTACTGACCAGTGGGGTCATTTCTATGTCTCCTGTATAACTCCCAGCTCAAAAATCCTTGCAAGGCTGGGTTGGTTTCATCTATTAGAGAACCTCCACGAATTGCACAAAAGTGATGGGCATCTCTAAAGGTCATGGGTTGGTTGTTGTAGAAGATGTAACACTTGCCACTATAGGTAGCAGTGCTCCCTAATGGCTGATCTCTGAAGGAGGGACATCTCTCAATAGGTAAGGCTGCAAAGTGAAAACAGTTACGCATTTCAAAATGTAATTTAAAAAATAATATAGGTATGCAGTGAAAATAAATAAAAAAAACAAAAGCATAAAAATATAGAGATGCTTTGATAAAAGACTGATCTAGAGACAGAAACATATATATCTGTACTTTTTTTTGGCAGATCTTATACATCACAAATTTATTTTTTGAAACTTTGAATCTTTCTTAATTTATACACATTCTAGATTGCATATTAACTCAAATTACATGCGAAAACTTTCCCATAATTTGTTTATCAATCTTAAACTCTTTTTGGTGCTACTATAGCATGTGGTCTACAAAGATATTTACACAATAGCGTGCGGTCTACACAGATACTATCATCATCATCACTGTTTTCTTGCTAAATATTTTATATCTATCCATGTTTTAATTCTGCAAATAATAATAATAATTTAATAAATTGTATGTTCCAAAACAATACCTTAAGCTTATGTTATAATTGCGCTAGTTTTGATTGTTGGAATTTATTTCATTCTGATTATATTTGCCCCAAAAATATTATGTAATGGTATTTTGTACTTTATTAGTTTAAAAGCATTATTTATAATAAATGATGCCAATTGCAAATAAACGAAAGTTAAAATGGTGATGATAATAGTATCTTTGTAGACCACACTCTATAGTAACACCCTCTTTTTGAAGTACATTAAAAATCTTTCAATCATTCTGATGTCCACATAACTGTAAAGGATAAAACTTTCTATAAACTTAACACTCTAGATTTTTATTACATCAATTGTTTAATTATATTTTGTAGTTTCTCTTAATCTGTTATTGAAGTACTTTAGAGCTATCATTAATTAATTTCACATCAATAAGTAAATTTACCATTCTGGTTAAATATCTAAACATTCAAATCTCAGTTCCAATTAATTGTAATACTACACCCTTACCTTTATCAGTGTAAACAAATGCTTCACAAATAGACAATGGATGATTAAAAGGACTTTCCAAATGTATACTAACAAATGCACCAGGCATTGCAGTGGCACAGGGAAAAAACAGAGGACGCCCTTCCTCTGCAAATAAAACAGGAAACCAGTTAGATTATCATAATATTATTGTAGACATAAAACAGTATTTTTAAAACCTCATAACAAATGTACAACACTGATGTTTATTTGTCCTGAAAAATATGAAATCAGGGACCTTGAAATGGCAAAAATATATTAGATACCTAGATAATATATATGTAACATTATAAGTTCATACTACTTTTATTTGCATGCCATTGTAATAAAAGTGTAATTATATAAATAAAATAATATCTTTATGTGCTCCTTTTCTACTTGTTTATCAATAAGAGCACAAATTTCGTAGTACGTGATAATCACTACATTATAAGTTTTACCAAAGTTTCTTAGATCAAAGAAAGACCAAATTTACTGATGTGATTGGCCATTTAAAGCATTTATCAACATTTAAAAATTGTGATAAGCATAAAATGCTAAATGCCATTGTTCTATCCCATTAAATATCAGTCTTTATGTTGTCTTTAAGAATGCATGATTCAGTATGCTCAGCATACTTAAATAAATGACACCGCTCCTTTGGGTCATGCCCACCAGTGGCTCAGTGGCAAATCTTGGACTTATAATGCTAAAAATCAGGTTTTGATAACTGTGGTGGGCACAGCATAGATAGTGCTTTGTGTAGCTTTGAATTTAACAACAAGTAAACAGATCTTTGGGTGATATAGTTGAATGCATTTCTAGTTATCTGTATTATAATAATATTTAACCCACACAGGCTTCAATTAACTGGATTATAACTCCATATTTGAGACAAATAAGTTTTTTAATGTGCAAGCACACAATAGCTGCTTCAGTGCACCTTAACTTATAAATAATAATAAATACAGGTAACCATCTAAATTTTAAAGTTACTTGCATAAAACTGATTTGGCTGCTACTTACCAATGAAACCAATGAACCTGCTACATATTGGGTTAACCCCCAAGTCGGGTCTGTTGTTACCAACACGAACAACTACAGTCGCTTGTCTTTTGTTTGCTGAAATTAAAAAAGAAGAGTATATAAATGTTAGAGATATATAGTTGTTGTTGTTGTTTTTAGTATATTTTGGAAATTGTTGCTTAACGCCTTAAGTTTTTCAAATAGCACTCATTAAAAGAAGCTTCAAAAATCATCTCCAAAGGAATAAGTTTTTCAAGAATTATTACTGGTCATTTCATTCAGTTTTTTATTTTGTTCTCATTAGAGTATTTTAGCTATCCAATAGTTACTATAAAATGTGCTTAAAGATGCAAATAATCAGTTTCACAATATGTTTTCGTCACTTTCCTAATAAGATTAGGATATAAATAAGGCAAAGACCTTTTTGATATTGTTACATCTATTTTTAATTACCTTTATTAAAGTTTTTATTTTATCCATATAATATTCAATCAAAACAATATTAAGCTTTTCAATCCACCTACACAACATATTGTTGCGTCAGCGAGTCACATGACCACCGTGACGCAACGTTTCTAGAACTATCATGTACTTTGGCGAATGTTCAAGTTCTTACTAGAA